GCCCTTCTTTTCTGGACCACTCAGCGTCCTATTATTGGACCGGCTAGATGTGGGTCAGAGGACACATTCCTTTAAGAACACATCATCTGGCCAGCCTCGCTCTACCATACATCAAGCCTCGGCCCACTCCAGTTTGCGGCTAACCTGATCTAGGAAAGAATTTGCATGGCACCATGCAAAAAAAAGTAAAATTACAAGAATGCATTTTACTTCTACTCTTATATATCTATATTTCTAACAGTCATTTTGATCCTTTTTCCTTTTTTTTAGTGTATTGGTTCAGCACCTAAAATGCTTTTTATTTCTTGTGCTTCTCTCTTTAAAACTTCAGCATTTTATTTTAGACCAAGTGATCTCAAAAAGAGAAGAATGGTGTCTATCAAACTTTAGTTTGTTGGTTAATTTTTCAAGTTACTCTCACTTCTGCTTCTACTTCTACTACTGTTATTTACTGTTATGAAGAGTTCTCTTATTTGAGCATGGTTTTATCTCTGACTACAGCTAAACTAAGCATCTCCATCTCCACCCTAGAGCCCTAACTTGAACCATTCTTTTCATCCAAATTTGGCAAGAATTTGCACAGCTATTGTAGCAGCACTCAAATGAAGAGAACCTCTGAAAATAGTTCACTTGCAGGTTAGTCATTTTTGTCCAGGACTTAGTCTTCAAAACAGGACATTTAAAGGATATTTGAAAGTACTTCAACAAAATAGTAGTAACAGACATACAAAATAAACACTTGTACAGCACTTTTGGTTCCACCGTTTGTACTCGCTATGCTGTGCTGCAGTTCACATATAACCATACATTAATCCAAATGTTCTGATTCCTTGGTGTTACTCAGTGTCCTGCATTAGCATATGTATGAAACTATTCACGGCAGCGCTGCTAACACCACTCACTCCTCTTTTGTCATCAACCAGCAGTGGGGGAAAACCCAGAGGTGGGTGGGAGAGTGTATCTTAGAGTTGGAATGTGGAATAAGGTTTACATTAGCTGACCCAGCTCCATCTGGCTTTTGCCAAATGATACTGGAGCAGAAAAGGAAGCATGTGTCTCAACAAATACCACTAAAAAGGGAGGGGAAAAAAACGATAACCCTTGTAATCTATTATTTTCTTACATTCTATTATTGGACATCAATCTGGGAATTCTGACTATTTACAATTATTCATGCCTGTGCGAAAGACAGAGATGACCCTTTATTTATTTAATTTCCTGTCAAAACACCCATTAAGTACAAGCTATTCATTTTTAGAAGATATTTCTGAGGAAATTAGACATAAAATAATCCACATATGGAGTGGGAAAGTCTAATGGAAATAAGTGGAAAAAACGGGAGTTTCCAGAGAAAATGAAAAGATCTGGTAGACCACCAAAACTGTCACCATAAGATAAACAGTACTTGAGTTTCTTTGAGAGAGAGGAGAAAATCAAGCTCCACTCTTACTTCAGATTTGGAAAAATCCACAGGTGTTTCTGTCCATCCTTCCACTATGAGAAGACAACTAAACACTATGAGACTGAAGGAATGTGTAGCTGGCAAGAAGCCCTTACTGAGAAAAAGAAACAGACAGCAAAGAAAACTATCTGCAAATCAAACAAAGACGCTGTGCAACTTCTAAGACTGAACTTTGGAGTTATGGAAAAATATATCTGCATATTAAATGGCAGCAAGTCCTCTGAAAAGAACGGAAGATGTAGTAAAGGTAAAAGGGTGAATGCACCTAATACTAAAAAAATCAGGTAGTATTGTAGTGACCTGCTACTGGCTGGCACTGGCCTTTAGACGCTTGTGAGGTATGGCCATGCTGATGGCTGTGCCGGGAGTCTCATGGTGAATGAACTCCGGAAAAGGGGCTTAAGTGTTGTTTATGTTGTTGTTCTTCAGTTAATGGTATGCGGTATGTGTTTATTGTGTTGTTCTGTGTGTGAGGGGTGGTCATAATGAGGGTGAAGTATATGGCTAGTGTTGACCTCTACCACAAGTTTAGTGCTGTGTATGTGCCCCTCTGCCCTTCTGTTTAATAAACAGCAGTTCTCATGGTGGAAATCATGGCCTCCCTTGAGTCTTACTCTACACCAACGCTACAGTATATCTAGTTGTTGAGTTTTCCATGTAATTTTCTTTTAAAATGCTTTCTATTTTTTCTGACACTGAAAAATACTGTGCTTAAAGGCCATTTTGGCTAGAAAATTAAATAAATTAAGAGCAGTCCCTGAATTTTGCACGGTCTGTGTGAATGATCTGGTTGCTTTGCTATGTGTTATTATGCAAGATAAATCTGTTTGGCAGTTTGATTGATAATTCAGTATTTCTTTTCTACAGAGGGATAAAAATGCTGGACTGGTGATATGTTTTCTCACAAACTGGGAAGTTTTTGTGTTTGGAACTTGCTGCTCCATGGTGTCTGGGTGTAACATAAGCAAGACAAGATAAATCTCTAAAGACTTCTAGAGACATAAATCTCATGAGGAAGAAAATAGCTGATTCTGGAGTTTTTCTTCTCGCGCTGATCTTTTTTTTCAGAGTTGTTTATGAATGACTTGAGCTGGGAGGCAGTCCTGTGAATGTGTATATGTGTGTATATGTATGTATATGTTTTTGCATGTTTGTGTTTATGAGTGTGTGTGTGTGTGTGTGTGTGTGTGTATGTGTGTGTGTGTGTGTGTCTGTTTGGCCTGCTGATGAGCTCCTTTCGAGTCGTGGACAAGTAAACAGGAACCCTGAGGCCTGTCTGTGGTCAGAAGTGGAGAAGGTGGAAAATAGGCAGCAGCAAATAGCACACGAAAGCACGGATGAGAGGAAAGAGTGAGACAAACATAGAGAGAGAGTGTGAGAGACAGAGAGAGAGATAAGCCTTAAAGCTCTGGATCACTTGTCCCTTGAAGTAGAAAGCTTGTGAACGAGACAGAGTCTTGGCTTTTCTCAAATTACAGCCTGGGACGAATGCTGTGCGTTTAGGCAGTAGCGAGGCCCAGGAGACTGGGTTATGTCGATGGCTCTGGTTGCCGTGTCTAGCGCTCTGTGGAGATGAATGCTCTAATTATCGAAGCTCAGGAGAGAGTTCCCCTCCAGCTTCTCCTGCCCACTCACTCTCACTGCCGCCATTGTACCCGTGCCTCAGCTCAGGCCGACACACATTAGCACCAGAAGTCTCTAATAAGTTTAAGCTCCCGCTAGCCAAAAAAAGTCCCCTCAGCCTGTAGTTATCTGGCTGGATTAGCCTGTAACAAGGTCCCATTCCGCCTCCGTGCGCTTACGTTGCAAGTCTTTTGCTCCCGTCAGGCTCTTCTTCCCTCGCATTTTCTAAATCTCCCAGTCAGTGCGATACACCCGTCCTTTCACCTGGGCAAATTGGCCCAGAGAAAATGGACTGGAGAGGTGAGCCGAGTCAGGGGGTGGGGGTGGGGTTTAGCGCTTTCGCTGCTGCCGAGAGCAATTTAGCATTTCAGTCGACACACACATTTTCTTCACTCTCTGGCTGACGGAGGAAGTTAAAGGATGCATCATTTAAGGAAATGTATTCAGATCCATTTGGCTACTGTCACTGATGTATTTTGGATAGAAATCTAATTTAGTAGGCTGAGTAGCTCAGGAACTTGAAGAAGAAGCTCACATAAGTGAATGCAGTCGTTAGTATTGCTTTAAAACACTCAGAAATCTAGTGTTATTACAATTGTTTTGCTATACTATTTACACATAATAACATCATTAAAGACTTACTGAGTCTACAGGTTTGCATCTGCACTTACTTTTTTGTTTCTATGTCAAAAACCTCTATAAATCTATAAACATATTCGTAACATGTTATAATGCATTCATAAGACATTATAAACATAGCTATAAATATTTATAAAAATGCATTATATGCTATAGCCATGTTTATTATGCATTATGAATTGTTAACATAATACATTATAAGTACTGATCATAACAAATTATAAGAGCTCATAAGTTGTATTTATCCGCTCTTAGTAAAGTGAAGCATACTGTACTAAAGCCACCTCCAGTGTTAAGAATGAGGCTTCAAGTTGAAGAATTTACTGAAGAATTTACTGAAACACTAAAACATGCACAGTAAAGCACATTACAGGCTTCAAATGTCAGATTTTAAACTAGTACTGCCATCAGTGTTTTACCCAATGTGGGAAAGTTAGTGTACACCACCGTTAGCTTGGTATTTGTCTTTACTTTATGCTCTCCAAGCTGGGACTGACTTCTTTGGCACTGACATTATAACATGTTATTAACACTATTTATAATGCATTATATTAACAATTCATAATGTATAATAAACATGGCTATAAAATGTAATTCAGTGTAATTCTTTTTTTTATAAATATTTATAACCATGTTTATAATGCCTTATGACTACATTATAACATGTTATAAATGTGTTTATAGATGCTTACAAAGGTGACATTCATAGAAAGTGTTATCGTTTTTTCTTTTCTCTAAAAAGACTGTATATTCACTCACTTTTTGATTACAAAGCATAACAAAATATCTCCCCTTCTATTTACAAACATAAATGTGGTGTCACACATCCTTTGAATAGAAAGTTTTAATCACTCACAAGTAAGAAATCATTTCGTCATTTAAGGCGTCTACCCCTCTGGAGGGAATTGGCTGCTGACAATGGTCCTCCAGCCATGCCCATCCTGGGCACTTCTTCCCAGCTGGCTTCAAGAGTAGTCCAGTCTCTTGATGTCCGCTTTCTGGTCTCTGTGTCAGGCATTGTGTGATCATCCTCTTTTCTGCTTATCTTGGGGATTCTAGGTGAGGGCTTGCTTGGTGACATTCGTGGTAAGCTAGTGTAGCATGTAGCCAAACCCTCCTCAGGATCTTCTTATGATTTCTTTGTCCACTGGCTGCTGCTCTGTCCTTTGCTACTGACACCCATTTCTGATGATGTTGGACCATCAGATCAGAATTCTTAGACTAGTGTTACTGAAAATCTAAGGCTTTTTTTTTGTAGCTTCTTGTATTTTTATAGGGTGGAGTAGTTAATCCCTCGTCCAACCCTTCTCCTTTCTCAACTTAAGCTTGGGACCGGCTATGGATGGGTGAGCAAGTAAGAAATCAAGAGTGATAAGCCATTTGTCATTAAAAGTTAATGTGGCACTAATAGGAAAGTAGTGCTGTATAGGTTCACATAGTACAAGTGAATGGTGATGAAACAACTTGGGAAAATTTTTCTTTGGACTACTTTCTTATAAATAAATACTTTTAACTTCACTATCTAGATCTTTGTCTTCTTTTTGTAGGGTAGTAGTAGGTGGTACTTTATTTGTCTCAATGCTTTGTAGAGGAGTATCTTACATTTAACTAATTTTCAATTAAATATCTATTCAGTTCACCTATATTTTCCAAAACCTTGGCCCAAATCTTCAACTCAAAACCTAAGCCTAATACTCACACTAGACCTAAACCTAGCCCTGGTACCAAAACAAATTTTATCCCCAAGTTTCAACAAATAGTTTGTTAATAATTTGATCGATAGATAATCTATTGGGGGAAATCTAAATAAAGTGGGCCCTAATATTGTCTAATTTTGTACTAAACCTAAAACATTTTGCACTAAAAGGAAAGAACAATTTACCACAAAGTAAAGACTAAAATAGCCAAACCATAGCTTCCTCTTATGGCTCCTTCCCCTCTGCTACATTTGGCAGCCTGTGACTGTTGAGTGAAAACAGTATAAAGTGATCCACATTTCATTTTCATCTGAGTATTAACAGTACAATACTTTCCATTTTATGCTATGGAAGTGCTCCCAGGAAGGGACCTTCTGTCCCACGCACATCCACAGGCCATCTGGACTCAGTGGTCCTTCCCCGCATTATACCGTCTTTGGTCTCCAGGCCAGGTTGGTTCATTATTAATCTTTCATGTTTCCTAAATTAGAGTAATCATAGAAGTTTTCACGGTCTGCAGGTTGCAGAATGCTGCAGGGCACAGAGTGCTAATGGTAATGACGATACTTTACATGCATTTCCAGCTCCTGGCCCGTCAGTCAGATTAGGGCTGCTAAAGCTTGCAAGAGGCAACCGAGGTGAATTCCATCCCTGTTATGTCACGTCTGAGAATCTGAGCCTCTCGGGTTCCAACGAGAAAGGCATGTTGAGTTTTCAGGCATGTTTTCTCACAGAAAACTGAGCAGACACCTCAGTGTAAGACCTGCAAGAACTAGCAGCATGGAGGCCTCTAATTTTGGTCATGTTTTCTTTTACAGTCCTAGGTATGAACCAGGTAAGTGTGAAGTACAGCCCCAAAGTACTAGATAATCATTTTGGGTAACATGATGGTACATTTGAAGACACTCAAACGCACAGCAGGTTCTAGATGTGAGTGTGAGGTATACATTCCACAGTACTAACATGTTGGTAAGTTTGAAGAGAGTTTAACTAAGATTCGCTGAAATGCCAAACAGGTTCTAGATATTCATTTAGCACGTGTGGGGAACAATCTCTAAAGTGCTGTGTAATTATTTTGGGTAAAATAATAATAATTACCAAGAGAGTCTAAATGAATAGCACTGAAATGACTTGCAGGTTCTACATATAGAGCTGATAAAAGACACAAGAATCATTTCTTTCTTTTACAGCCCAGAATCGGTTTAGTTTATAGCTAATAAACAAGTACAAACCGTACAACACTCTGTACTTTAGTTGTGTACAATCTTTTTAGTTAATGTCCAGAACCCATTTGGCATGTCAGTGTAATTTAGCTAGTCAGCCTTCAAGCTTATGATCATGTTACTCAAAATAATTGTCTAGTACTTTGGAGTTTGTGCCTTACTATTGCCTGATTTATACCTGGATCTTAAAGTACTGTAAAAGAAAGCATTGTCCTAATTTCTTTATAAACAGTACATACAGGCTTTAACCACATCAGACTGGCTGTGCTGCCAGAAGGATGAAACCTCACATTGTCTTTAGGGTATCATTGATTCTTTGAGTGACAGATTTTTTACCCTCTGGTACTAGACATATTGGGCAAACTAGCAAGCCCCAGTTTGTCAGTTTCCTTCTTTTGCCAAACCACAACATGAATTGGTAGAACAGACAGGTTGTCCTGTACTCTTAAACATACAATTTCACTGAAATCCACAATTTACTGAAAGGCTCTTTTGGGAAACAAAAGTGTTTTTATAGCATAGCTCCAAAGAACCCTTTTGAGCCCTTTATTTTTAAAGGGGTGCCTGGTGCATTGCTTGCTCTATTGTTTTGTATTTAGATTTCAGTTTCCATCCTGTTACAACCTAGTCAAAGGTCAAGCTGTAACAGAATGGTGTGTGGTACCCTGTGTGTGCTTTTTGAGTGTCTGTGTGTGTGTGTGTAATAATGAAATGTGTGTATTATACAAATATAAAAAAGTGGTCTTTGGGTTTGAACAAGGCCAAAATAACAAACAAAACCCAATACTAATTCAAAGACAGTCCAACCTTACCTTAACCAAACAAAAGACAAACGAAAGAAAGAAAGAAAGAAAGAAAGAAAGAAAGAAAGAAAGAAAGAAAGAAAGAAAATCCCAACAGAAACAAACAAACCCAAACAGAAAATCCCAAACTACATAAAATACATGACAAATGGGTGATGGACCAAGAACAGCAATACAAAAAAGGGCAAAGCATAACACAACTTTTATAAAAGTTAAAATTTCTTTGTTTTGTTGTTTGGGTGAGTACATCCTATTATAATATGTAGTACAAATGTATGCAAAAGAAAGGGCCATAACGTGGTCTGAAAGGGGTAGGAAACCCAAGATAGGGGAAATACATTTGGCCTAAACTGCATGGATTGCTGGATCCTGTGTTGACCTTTTGGGCCTCAAAGGAATATTTCAGGTCATATGGAAATACTCAACCCTCCCTGCCCCCTCACCCAAGCCTAAAAGGGATTACTATATGTTGCACTGGAGTAATGGATTGGTTTGGGGTCTGATGTGCAACAGTGACTCTTGGGAAACAAAGCAAGAAAACAAATAGTCATGATGGATTTTGTCCTGCTTTGGGGAACATTGACATTCCCTGTGTTTGACCTTTCACCTCGGTTGAGCTTCAGAGCTCAGAGGGCCGTACCGCATGATGGACATATCTGTAGGGATCAGTACATAACATTGACATATTAGCAGTCCTGGATGGAAGCCGACTGTAGTGTTGAAACCCATCCAAGCCATATTTACATGCAGACATATTCTTAACGCATAGTCAAGCATACGTCGGAACATATCTTGGAAATCTTACTGAGCTGAACTCCTACACTGGGAATCGAAGACATTTTTGATTGGTGAAATATCCCCTAAATATCCTTTGTATGTCATTAAAAGAGTTCAGTAGTTCAATTCCTGCTATAATTCTTTTCAGCCCTGTAAGAAAAAAAATCCCTCCCTCCCTTCCTTCTGTTGTTGTTGCTGAAATGGGAGTTTTCATGCGCAAGAGCTGAATTATTGTTTGAAACATCCTATTTAGTTTAATTACTCTACAGCTGTTATGGTTTAAGCCTTTTTCTGAGGCAGAACATTCCTACCGCTAATTTTAAATGGTTTCTTTGCTATTGAGTGCTAAGGCGCAACACACCCTCCAATTGAAAAACCAGGGCTCAATAACTAGGTCCCCGCCAGCCCACCAAAACCAAAAGAAGTGGGAAGGCACACAAGAACAGGCACCCACAGCTCTACCCCACGTACACGTCTGAGAAAACAGGATATTTGCTTGATTAGCACTCTTAGCGTATTCCAGGCTAGTGCTAGCCCAGCAGCACCAAAGGCTCCAGGACAAGCCAGATGCAAACACAGATGTGAGGTCCTCTGAGGTTAGCTTGCCCTATTCAGACATTGGATTGCAGCAGTAATTTTCTCTGGCAAAAGCCCATGGGAATCATGGGAGCACAGACTTCCCAAAACGTCTCTTAAGACGACCCACACTTGAATGCATAGTGAGGAGGCTATGCTTCATTTTGTGTGTAATAAGCATGTCTCATTGAACTGTGATGATGTTCATGAGATAAGCTTGTCAGGCTTGTGTGATGGGAGAAACGTATTCATGATTGGAAATCCCTATGGAGATGCAAGCAACATGCTGGCACTCTGCAGAGATACATGTCCAAGATGTCCATACATGCACATAGATTCCTCCATCTCATGTGTTTGTGTAATATATATATTATTATTATCTGTTCTGATTTAAGCATTTTTCTGAGCACTCATAATGCTCTTATTAAGCCTTATCAAGTCAGTAGTTAATTAACTGGCTGCTCATTACTAAAGTAATAACAATAACACTTCACTTGAAGGGTGTCTACATAACACGTTCATAATATCTCACATAAACACTTCATAACATGTTCAGAAATGTTTAAATCAATATTTATAAGGAATACATGCTTCACATGAAATTAATATGGACTACCATGTCATTTTACTGAGATGCATTTTTAAAAATAAAAGTCCCCATTTTTTATTTTGAAAAATTACAGTATTTTCAGTAAAATATCTAACTTCTGGACAGGCTAAATAAAAATGACCTCACTTTGTCCTTTTGGTCATAAAGTGCTTTGACACTCGGAAATGTTTCATGTATACTTCTTTTTAATTACTTGCTTTTTCTTAAGCATTTGTTGCTTTACATGTCACTTTACTATATGTACAGTAAATTACAGTAAATTGCCATAAAACTCATCCTAAAACTATAGGATAGGAAAACTATAGGAAAACTATAAGCGCATTCCATTTAGACCCAGTGCTCAGGGAAGGGTTGTGCTCATGTAATGACTTACATTACACAAATAAAAGTGTTCTGGATAATGCTTAACTCACTCATGTTATTGCTTAATAAAAAAGTAGCAGTTACCATAAATTGTCAGCATAAATTCATACGTAGGCATCAACATTTAACTCCTTAAAATTGCAGACTTATTACATGCTAAGGCTTGTTATTCAGAAACTGCACAGACTACAATGCAAGCTAGCTGAGCTGTTCTTAGGTTATAGAAGTGTGTGGTAATACTTTAAGGTGTTAGGTATAAGCCTTTAGATCTAAATGTATTACAGATTATGAAAAACATACATTCAGTTACTTTCTGCTACTGTAAATGGTTGAAGCAACAGTGAGAAACAAGCAGAAATCTAGAAGATTTACCTCATTACCAACACATGCACTCAGACTGCAGAGTAGCTTGTTTGCGATTGTCATGATGGCTGTGTAATTTGGCAGTCAGAATAATGAGTAATTCTATGGAGAGACGCTGTGGTTTGCATCATCACTTAGTGTATCACAATGTTTTTCTTTCAGAGGCTGGGCCCTGAATCTGCGAGAGATAAAGGAAGTGGGCAGCTGTGAATGGGTAAGTGGCTCTTGTTCTCTCGCAGCCCATTACGTGAATACAGGTTTTGATTTAGGTGTGCTTTGCAACTAGCACTTTTCTCACCTCCCTACTGGACCAATCTTCAGAATGGTGTTTCTTTTATGTGGAGCACTGCCGAAAACAGGAAGACTGATGGTTGATAAGCAGCCAGTTGAGTCTACAGCTTGCTCTGACATCTCCGCTCTGGCTCCAAATGACACCCTCATCCTTTCACATGAGCAACAGCCAGTATTTCAGATGGTATTTGTGTCTAAAAGCAAGACAAAGCAACTGTGTACCTTCCTACCAATTCACGACCACCCTGTTCGCTTCCCTCTCACAGAATAGGGCCTAGTCTCTGAATAGAAAACAGCTGTGATACACATAGTGTTGATAAAAAAACCTCACCATCCTAATCACATTATTCTGACTGCCCAATTGCTTGGCCAGTCTAGTGCAAAAATAGCTTTTGGGCAAAAAGTATATCACATAGCTAAAGAATCTGAATTTTATTTGTACTTTTGTCCATTTGTAATGCACAGACATTTTGGGGGGCAGGGGCTCAAGGGCAAAAAAGAGCAACATGAATGTAAATTAAACCTCATTTGATTTAGGTTTTATTGCAATTACTCTTATCAAGAGACACAGTGTAATCATATTTCAGATAAAACCAAGCATACTCTTAAGAGTTTTTCAAATGGCAGCCAAAAGCACTGTAGGGATTTGAACTCCAGTCATAGCATACAAAGCCATGGCATTACTCACTGCATTTAATCACTTTTTAATCACTATTTTGAATCCAGTAATAACTCCATTTAAGAGCTCCGTAGAGTCTTGAAAACTTGGTGTTGTGAAAACGTGATGTTAACTTCACGAGTTATTAACACTCTTCACTGCCAACATGGATTGTTGCTCCAAAATAACCACTTTTTGGAATGGAGGTGGGTACTGTACCAGAGAACTGAACCCACAAGGCATTTTCTTGGGGCAAGACTGAGCTGAGTCTCACTGAAATGGATACAATATATAAAATATGTTTATTATACGCACCAACCAATAGGGCACTTGTACCATCTTGAGAGCAAAGGGGCAGAGCCTGAATATAACAGTATATCATATAATGTCAGCAACCACATAAACAAGCATAGTTGAGATTGCTTAACAACATGATGTGTGATAAAATGATGTAACGATTCAGGTGTGCAGATTGCACGGTGCTAATTGGTACTCTATAAGCTTCCATTACTTGTTAGCTACATTAGCCTTGTAACTCCAGTCCAAAACCAAGGAAGCCAACTTCAGAAACTAAACATGTTTTGGTTTATCTACTGCATTTGTAAAAAAAAATGGTGTAAATTTGATTTTGGTCAAGCTATTTCTTTATGTGTCTTATATAGAACTGTCTTTACTTGGACATGACAATGTATTTGAAATAATTACAGTTTGAAGAAAGATGTGCTTTTTAACTTCCTCTTTGGAACTGAAATCTATTCAACATTACATAGACTAGTTCACTTTTGTTCATGAAAGAGCCTTAATAAAATGGCTAAATAGATAATTGCTGGCAATTCATAGAGTCTGCAGTCACACTGGCCCCAAACAGTTTCCCCAAATGGATCATAAGTACAGTATAATTTAAAAAGTATCTCATTCCTTCTGTCAGCTGTTGGTTTTTCACTGTATTCCATGCCCACAGTCATGTATATATATATATATATATATATATATATATAATATATATAATATATATACACACATGACTGTGGGCATGGAATACGGTGAAAAACCAACAGCTGACAACAGCTGTATGTATATATATATATATACATACACCCGTATATACAGTATTTATATGGTATGAAGAATGGTGTCATAGATCATAATTAATGTTACACTGTGGAATTGCTGAGACAACTTGTGGCTGACTCCAGTCATAATGTCAACTGAGAGGATTGTAGCCTGCTTATTTTGTCATTTGTAACATATGCCTATGCAGTGTTTAAGAAATGCAGAGCTGTATCTCCTGATCAACTTTCTCACGACTGAATGTCTAAGAGGTTGTGACTCATCAGCATAAATTTTTTAGGGCAGAAATCTGAAGAGTGCTGCAACGTGACAGCATGTGAACTTCTGAGGCCGTCATCCTACCCCATCATGAGAACTGTTCCAAACCAGTTCCCATTCAATAGCTGAAGGCACATTTTCTCCCTTTTTTGACAACTCTGTCTTGTCTGGAGTTCACAGAAACAGATGTGCTTTAACACTTGCTGTGAGCTGCTGTATCTAAGCTGTGCAGTGAGTGATCGACTACTGCTATTAACAGAGTGAGCCATGATATGCTCAAAAAGAAACGGACATGCTGCTGTGGGTGTTTTGGAGTTCCCCCAGTGCATGTGTAGTGTGTGTGTGTGTGTGTGCATATATGTGTGTTTGTGCATGTGTGTGTTTTCATACATTTTTAGGACAAAAATGTCCTGACTTTGCAGAAAAACATTTGTAACCTATATAAAATGGTCCTATCTTTGTAAAGTGCTTTATACAAAAGCTATAAACTATAAATTGGAATGAAAAATCTTTTTCATTTTGTTATTGAGGTTAAGGCTTTGGATAAGGTATTCAATAATTGGGTATTCTGTAAGATTCAGTGTACGCACTAATGTTGTGCACACTCTGAAATACCGTCACTGCATTTCAGTCACGGTTTCACTAGAGATTTTGTAGATATGCAAAGTAGCTCTGGTTTCACAAGCTCTCACTACTCTGTCACATTCTGCTCACATGTTACTTTCCGTTTCTGCTCGGATGAGAGCTGCTGATGTAAACAATCACAGAGAATGCAGATACAGCATGGCAGAAGGTGAAGTGGTCCCAAGCTTTTTACATACTCAAAAAAGGTGAAAACTCACATCACACCCGGCTTGGAGGAGAAAAAACATGCAGGATCTCACAAATACATGTATGTTTGCAGTCACTAACTGTGTGTAAGTACAACAGGCCTAACAGGCTACAGGCTAATCTGGCAATATTAGAGACAGAATTAAAGTTGAAATATTTGAAATATTCACTGAACGACAACTATAACATATGAAGTATACAATATGTTCCCTGACCGTATGTTCAAATGTCCATGTGTAGTCTAGAGCTGTGTAGTATTAAACCCAGAGTGGAAAGTACACCACCATTAGCATGGTGCTAACATAACATAGCAAACCCAATAGTGATGGAAGAAGAGGAAATTAACATTGTCAAGTCAAGTCAAGTGAGTCAATTGGTCTTTATTGTGATTCCCCAATATAACCTGTATGTACTGGCACAAAAACATCATTCTTCAGGCCACATGGGGCAACACACAACAGCAGGACATCACACAGGACTACATAGAGTGCAGATACACAACAGTGTAAAAATACATCTAATTTACATAACTTTCCACTTATCCCAGATGTAGTGGATCAGCCAAGATATGTTTGGTGTCCAAACACTAGTAGTCAATAGTCACCCAAATATTTTCCGTAAATACAACCCAAAAACTATTCTCAACCTGCTCAGTCCACATCCAGGTCTTCATTAACGCTCGCTGGTGTGGTTTAGGACACAGTATGACTTATTGTATATATAAAAACCGACTCCCCTTCCTGTGCACACGTCATGCAGGCATATAAACGCTAGATTAGACTTGTGATTTCTATTGTTTTTATTTAAAAGCATATACAGTTGTATGCAAAAGTTTGAACACCCCTGGTCAAATGATTTGTTGATTTTCTAAGTGAAAATATGTTAGTACATCTTCAAGGTTACAAGTTTATAAGATACACAGTTTATTCACCAAAAAATGTAAATAAAAAGGAGGAACAGAAATTGCAAATGTACTTGGTAGCACCCATATGCCTGCATTTGCATGTCTACGTGCAACGATCTGTTGAATTTCGGCACAACACTTTTTGTGTAAGATGTCTGCCCACAGCATTCAGAGGTTTTGTTCTTTTTTACAGTTCACTTTGTCCTAAACTACACCTTCAGGTGCAACATAAATGAAAGTGCAACCTAAATGATGACTGACTGTGGTTTGAGTGGGTTGAGAGAAGTTTTGTGGATGTATTTACTAAAAAGATTTGGGTGACTATTGACATCTAGTGTTAGCAATGTAAGCCTTGTAGCTCCAGTATTGTGTTTTGGCTGATTGTCTACATTCAGTGTAAGTGAGTAAATTTTAGCTTTTTCACTGAGCCATTTTTTGTTAAAGCACTATGTAGCTGACTGTCATGTGTCAATCTAATGGTGAGGAATGAACGAAGACTCTTCTCTACATGGTCTTAGTGACATATTTGGATCTGCGTGTGTGTGTGTGTGTTTCTGTGTTTGTTTCTGCTGTAACCACACTACACTTACAAAAAGTGGTGGGGACATTTCCCTAGTGTCCTCAGTGTAAATTAAATGTATGCATATGGAACATATGCATGACATCACACCCTGACATTGTATAAATACAAACCTGTGTATGTGTATATGTGTGTGCCTGCATGTGTGTGTGTGTCTCTGACTGGCTGTTTTTGTTTTGGAGTGCTCTGGTTATCTGGGTGACTCAGTCGGGGAAGTGCCTGTCAACAGTAGTCTGCCTGAGGGAGTCAGACACAGAGAGAGGAGTGTGTGTGTGTGTGTGTGTGTGTGTATGTGTGTGCATGCGAATGTCTGTGTGTGATTATACATAGCCGGCAGGCCCAGTCTGTCAGGTCATTGAGTTTCTTCAACGAAGGGGGTTTCGTGTGTGTGCGAGGAGGGGATGGATCAGGTGGCATGCCGGGTGTTGACAAGAATCTATGTGTGGCCCGTGTGTGTGTATGCATGTCCAGAACCATGCCGAGTGGGCCAGGGCAGGGCAGGAAGCGAAGCAACAGGAGCACACTCTTCCCAGACAAAGCCTAATCAGTGGCCAGCACTGATTCCTCATAAACTCACATACATACCGACACTCATGCACACATGCCTGATGCTCTGTCTGC